TGGTAGCTGTTCACCCGCTTGAGGAGGAAGGTGACATAATTAACTTGCTTCTATCGACATTGTCAGAAATGTTGATGCCCCCACAGCATACGACCACTACCTTCTGGCCTGCTTAGCCATGATGGCCTTCAGGAAGCCCAGGAGATAGCTTCGACCATCGCGCACCAGGACCTGCTCCTCCACCATCTTCGGCATCCGCCTGGAAAGGAGTTCCCTGTTTTTAGATGAAATAGGGAAGAGCATGGGACCCCTTCACCCCTGAGGTACCTCTGCCAGATTTCCCTGGAACTCTGTTTGAAAACCACAGATCTAGTTCAATCCTCATTGTCTATGATGAGGAAACTGAAGCCCAAAGAATAGAAAGAACCAAGACGACCTCGTGCAGAGGGAGCAACAGGATTAGGACTTCACCCTCCTAATTATTGGAGTTCTGCTATTTCCTGCTCCCTACTCTGCTGTGAAGAACAGAGCCAGGGTGTGAAGTTACAGGGGCTTCGCAGTGTCTGGCCCAGGGCTGTAGGGACCGTTTGCCACAAGAAGCCAGAGCCAGGTATGGTGGCTAACACCTGTAATCCTAGCACTTTGGGAGGCTGAGGAGAGTGGATGGCTTGATCCCAGGAATTCCAGACCCCTTGACAACATGGAAAAACCCTATATCTACGGAAAAAAAAAAAACGAATTAGCCGAGTGTGGTGATGAACCCCTGTAGTCCCAGCTACTTGGGAGGTTGAGGTGGGATGCTGTACTGGGCCATCATTGCAACCACTGCACTCCAGTCTGGGTAACAGTGAGATCCTATGAGACCCTATCTCAAAAAAAAATAAAAATAAAAAAGGAATAAAAGCCAGCCTGGAGTTGCCCAGCTCAATCAACAAAACATCTTCCCCAATTACAAATATTTTGCCAAGGGCACATCTAGCATGTCTCCTAGAAATGGGCCTGCCTAGTATCCCTTCTGTACCCAGGAACTAGCTAGAAGGAGCCTGAAGGAAATCTGGTTTCAGCATAAACACGATGATGGATTTCACAGTGCCACAGTTGGGAACCCATAGTCAATTTTTCTTTCTGTAATTAGAGGTCTGTGGGGTGCATTCTTATGCCTGGGTGGCATTATGATTCCCATTTTATAGAGCAGGCAAAATTTCAGAAAAAATTCCAGGGTCTGTCTGAAGTCAAAGCCAAGCAGTGGAAGAGTCAGGATGAGAATCCACACCTCTCAACATTCATCCCAAGCTCCTTCTTAGGTGATACTGGGCTGCAATCCAGAGGTGGAAGCTAATGGATACTTAGGACTTATTTTTTCTTATTTTTATTTATTTATTGAGTCACCACTGCACTGCATCCTGGGCAATAGGGTCTCACTCAGCAAAGGGTCTCACTCTGTTGCCGAGGACACTGCAGTGGTACCATCATAGCTCACTATAGCCTCAGCCGCCTTGGGCTCAAGCCATTCTCACACCTCAGCCTCCCAAGTAGCTGGGACCACAGGTGTGCACCACCATGCTGGGCTACTTTTTTTTTTTCAATTTTTTTTGTAGAAAAGGAGTCTCACTGTGTTGCACAGGCTGGTCTCAAATTCTCAGGCTCGAGTGATCCTCCTGCCTCAGCCACCCAAAGTGATGGGATTACAGGCATGAGCCACTGCACTTAGCCTCTAAGGGCATTTGGATTTAACATCCCAGGATAGGAAAGCAGAGATCCAAGATGGCTGATCACTAACAGCTCAGGATTGTAGCTCCCAGTGAAAGCTCAGAGAACGAGAGGATGCCACACTTTCAGGCGAATTTTCATTGCTCACGGACCAGCAGATTTCTAGTGGAGGAGCCCCATGGGTCGCCAGCACGACTCCGGCGCAGCGGTTTTGCCGGTGCCTTGGCACGGCAGCTCTTCATGCAGAGTAAACAGGACTGGTTCCCTTACTGACCAGTGTTTGGAGCTCCAGGAAGGCAGAGCCACTTGTTTTGGACTCAAGAAGGAAGCCAGACCAGAGATTCCCGGGCAGAAGGGCACCATCACTCTTATCGCTGCTATTTTGGCCAGCGCAGTGGGTTGCTTGAATCCCAGCACTGGGAATCAATAAATTGGACGTCGACTCAGAAACCTAATTAGAAAGGCGGTAATTGTAAAGGCGACAGATGGATAAATTTATAATAAAGGGAAAAAACCAGCCTAAGAAGGCCGAGCATACCCAAAATCAGAACCCCTCTCCCTCTACAGGGGATTGCAGTTCCTCATCAGCAAAGGAACAAGCCCTGATGGAAAAGGACTGTGTTCCATTATCTGAAGTAGGCTTCAGAAGGTGGATGATAAGAAACTTCTGCGAATTAAAAGAACCAGGAAAGTCTGTACCCTGAGATGTCCCAGATGTTGGAATTATCAGAAATACCTTTTTTTTTTTTTTGAGACAGAATTTCACTCTTGTTGCTCAGGCTGGAGTGCAATGGCACGATCTTCATTCACTGCAACCTCCACCTCCCACGTTCAAGCAATTCTCCAGCCTCAGCCTCCTGGGTAGCTGTGATTACAGGCATCCACCTCCTGGTTCTTTGTGTGTAATTTTGATTGTATCCCAGGCATTCTGAATAGGTCTTGTTTAAATCCCACAGAAAATGTTGGGTTTTTGTTTGAGGAGGCAGTTGACCCTCTTAGGTTCAGTTCTGACCTGTGGGCTATTGTAGTTTGAATATCAGTTCAGTTTCAAGCCTTTGCCATGTAAATCGAAGAGTCCTACGCTTACGCCACCCAGTGACCAGTCTGAAACCTGAGTGTTCTGCCTAATAGTTCGGTTCTCAAAGTCACTGAAATGTTGTTTAGGGTCAGATCCATGCATGTGAGCCTACAAATTCACATGCAACTTTATGGGATCTATTTCACAAGCTCTCTCCTGTCCACCTTCTCCCCCACACTTTCCAGCTTTCAAGACCCCTCATTTTCCTGGTCCTTTAGCTAGAAATTGGGACTCCCTGCTCTGTTACATACTTTCCATGGTGGGGTGTACTCTTGGGCCAAGTGACAGGATGAAGAGAAAAAAAGGCAACGGAGATTCCCCTCTTACACTTTTCGGATTGCAGATGCTTTGGCCAGATAAAAGAATTCTGCTCTGTCAGAGTTTTAGGTGCTTTTCTGACCGCCACTGCTACTGCTACCAAAAAAAAAAAATTAATTTTTCTAGAGACAGAGTCTCACTGTGTTGCCGAGGCTGGTCTCAAATCCCTAGCCTCAAGTGATCCTCCTGCCTCAGCCTCCCAAATCCTGGGATTATAGGCATGAGCAACCATACTCAGCCTTGTTAATATTTCTTTTTTTAGAGTCCTTGGATGCATTCTGTCCAGGGCTTTTAGTTGCAGCCAGTGGGAGAGACACACTATGCTTACCTATCTTACTTAGAACTGGAATCCCTAGAGATTTTTTTTTAATTGAAAAAAAATTTTTTTGAGATGGTCTCACTCTGTAGCCCAGGCTAGATACTGTGGTGTAATCACCACTCACTGCAGCCTCAACCTCCCAAGCTCTAGTGATCCTCCTACTGCAGCCTCTTGAGTAGCTAGAGCTTAGAGGCACTCACCACCATGCTCCGCTAATTATTACTTTTTTAATCTTTTAAAAATTTTTGTAGAGACAGGGTCTCACCATATTGCCCAGGCTGGTCTCAAATTCCTGGGCTCAAGTAATCCACCTGGCTTGGCTTCCCAAATTGCTGGAATTATAGGTGTGACCCACCACACCAGGCCAGAATTTTTTTTTTTTTTTGAGACAGTGTTGTTCTGTCACTCAGGCTGGAGTGCAATGGTGTGATCTCGGCTCGTTGCAACCTCCACCTCTCGAGTTCAAGCAATTCTTCTGCCTCAGCTTCCTGAGTATCTGGGATTACAGGCACCTGCCACCACGCCCAGCAAATCTTTTTTTTTTTTTGTATTTTTAGTAGAGATGGGGTTTCAAGATGTTGGCCAAGCTGATGTCAACTCCTGACCTCAGGTGATCCACCCACCTTGGCTTCCCATGTTGGCCAGGCTGGTCTTGAACTCCTGACCTCAGGTGATCCACCCGCCTCAGCCTCCCAAAGTGCTGTGATTACAGGCTAAATAAGAATTTTAGAACTAAGAAAATATAAGAATCAAGATTTGGAAATGATGTTTCGGACCTATTCCTGGAAAATGTGTTACTTTATATGACAAAGGAGACTGCAGATGTAACTGATTTTAAAATTGGGATTATTCTGGACTATTAGGTGGGCTCATTCGAATCACATGAGTCTTTTAAAGCAGAGTGATTCTCTCTGGCTGGACTTAGATGTAGCAGAAGGAAAAGTTAGACGTATTTAAAATGTAAGAATTCAACCTGCTATTTCTGGAGGGGGACACATAGAAAGCACCAGAATGTGGGCAGCTTCTATGGAGCAAAGGCCGGCCCCCAGCTGACAGCTAAGAAAACAGGGTCCTCTAGCCTGCAATTTGCAATGAACTGAATTCAGCCAAGAACCAAAATGAACATGGAAGCGGATTCTTCCTCAGAGCCTCCAGGGAAAAAAAAATACATTTGGTTTTGGCCTTATGAAAAGTGATTTTGACCTTGTGAGACTCTAAGCAAAGGACCTAGTCAAGTCCAATCAGACTCCTGACCTACAGAAATTGTGAGAAAATATATGGATGTTGTTTTAAGCCACTAAATCTGTGGTAATTTTTTTTTTCCCCCAGATCTTCTGCAATTTTAAGCATAGAATTCGTGGTAATTTATTACAGCACCAAGACTAAACTAATATATTACCCAACATGAGCAGAGAGAGAAAAAGAAAATTTTTGTGGGTTTTTTGAGACAGGGTCTCACTTTGTCACCCAGGCTGAAGAGCAGTGGTGCAGTCTCGGTTCACTGTAGCCTTGACCTTCTGGGCTCAAGTGATACTCTCACTTCAGCCCCAACAAATAGCTGGGACTATAGGTGTGTGCCACCACACCCAGATAAAGACTTTTTTTTTTTTAAATGAAGACTCAGGAATTCACAAATAATGTCAAAAGGTCTAATGTTCATGTTATCAAAGACACAGAAGTACAGGACAGTGTGGTGCAGAAAACAGTATTTGAAGAAATCATAGCTGAGAACTTCCCAGATTTCTGAAAGACGATCAAGAGACTCTGTGAACTCTGATAGGGACAACCCAAAGAAATCCATGCCCATATACATCATAATCAAACTGATGGGAACCAAAGACAAGGAGAAAAGCTTTTTTTTTTTTTTTGAGACGGAGTTTCACTCTTGTTACCCAGGCTGGAGTGCAATGGCGCCATCTCGGCTCACCGCAACCTCCGCCCCCTGGGTTCAGGCAATTCTCCTGCCTCAGCCTCCAGAGTAGCTGGGATTACAGGCACGCACCACCGTGCCCAGCTAATTTTTTGTAATTTTAGTAGAGACGGGTTTCACCATGTTGCCCAGGATGGTCTCAATCTGTTGACCTCGTGATCCACCCGCCTCGGCCTCCCAAAGTGCTGGGATTACAGGCTTGAGCCACCGCGCCCGGCCCAAGGAGAAAAGCTTTAAAAGCAGCTGGGGAAAAAATGAGGCATTACCTATTGGGAAACAACAGTTAGAATGCCTGTGGATTTCTGAGTAGAAACCATGGGGTACAGAAGGCGTAGAACCTTTTTTTTTTTGAGATGGAGTCTTGCTTTGTTGCCCAGGCTGGAGTACAATGTTGTGATCTTGGCTTTCCTGGGTTCAAGCAATTCTCCTGTCTCAGCCTCTAATCTCAGTAGCTTGGATATCAGGCGTCCACCACCATGCGCTGCTAACTTTTGTATTTTTAGCAGAGATGAGGCTTTGGCCTTATTGGCCAGGCTGGTCTCAAATACCTGAACTCAAGTGATCCGGACACCTCGGCTTCCCAAAGTGCTAGGATTATAGGCATAAACCACCATGCCCGGCCTCAATTGTATTTCTATATACTAACAATGAGCAATTGGAAAAAAACATCTACAACAGCCCCCTCAAGTGAAATATATGAGATCCACCCATGGATCTCAAATCCAAAAATCTGAAATGCTCAAAATCCAAAATTTTTTGAGAGCTGAAATGACTCTCAAAGGAAATACTCATTTAAGCAGTTTGGATTTTGGAGTTGGGACGCTCAAATAATATTTGCTTCAGGTAAAACAAATATTAATCTGAAAAAAATCCAAAATATTTCTGGTCCCAAGCATTTCTTCATTTTTTGAGATGCAGTCTCACTCTTGTCGCCCAGGCTGAAGCACAATGGCACAATCTTGGCTCACTATATCCTCCACCTCCAAGGTTCAAGTGATTCTCCTGCCTGAGTAGCTGGGATTACAGGTGCCCAGCTGTAAAAGAAAAAGCATTTAGGCCAGGCACGGTGGCTCACGCCTATAATCCCAGCACTTTGGGAGGCTGAGGTGGGTGGATCACGAGGTCAAGAGATCGAGACCATCCTGGTCAACAAGGTGAAACCCTGTCTCTACTAAAAATACAAAAATTAGCTGGGCATGGTGGTGCGCACCTGTAGTCCCAGATACTTGGCAGGCTGAGGCAGGAGAATTGCCTGAACCCAGAAGGCGGAGGTTGCAGTGAGCTGGGATCGTGCCATTGCACTCCAGTCTGGGTAACAACAGCCAGAATGTTTTTGAAACTCTGTCTCAAAAAAAAAAAAAAAAAAAAGAAAAAGCACTTGGCTTCCACTGGAATCTAGAGCCACAGTTTGGTGTCAAACAGAGCAGCCATGCTTTTGCTTGTTTCAAATGCTGTTTGCTGAAAACCTCTGGATCAGAAGAGCTGGTCTTGAGCCAGGTTCTCAGCGCCGAGGGGATGTGAACAATCGTGAATTCCAGTGCCTGCTGTTGGAGTCCACTTGTTAGTCCCTTTGACACTGCCCCGTTATGGATCCCAGCAGTCAGCTGGGGAGCAGGTTTTCATAGTGATTCTAAACAAGGCTGGAATCACTGTTTAGAAGTGATTGGGGGAAGCTGGGATCGTGCTTCTTGTTTCAGGACCCTTTGGTTTCACGTGGATTAAACAAGATGGACGCTCCCAAAAGGCTCTAAATCTAGGCCTTCTCTGAGGTAGGGTCTGAAAAGACTTAAACTTTTTTTTTAACACACAGGGTAACTTTTTGGAAGAGTACTTTATAAACAATAAAGGGCTGTGCACAGATAGAAGAAATGCCATTGGGAGGATGAGGGTGCCAACCAGGGGCCAGCAGGGTGAAACAATCTGTCATTCATGATGAGAGCTGCTGTTTGAGCTAAGCACATACCACGTGCCAGGCACTATGCCAAGACATTGTTGAATCTTCACAACTCTGTGAGAAAAGGGCTGTCACTGTACAGATGAGGACAGTGATGCTCCCAGGGCTCTGGGTCACATGAAGAGGAGGTTTCAGGGCTGTGCCTTGGTCTGAAGCTCCAGCCTTCCACGCCAAGGCCTGTGAGAGAAACCCCTGATGTCAGGCCTGTTTTTCTTATGTGCCCTGGAGAAGGGGACTAACACCACCTTTCATCAAAGGTTGGTGAGGGATGGCCAAGGGCTCTTTGAAACCTAGCCATGTACAATAGCACTCACAAAAAACTTAAAAAAAAAAATTTTTTTATAAAGTGGTACTCAGGTGCAGGGGCTCATGCCTATAATCCCAACACTTTTGGGAGGCTGAGGTGGGAGGATTGAGGCCAGGAGTTTGACACCAGTCTGGGCAATATAGTAAAACCTCATCTCTTAAAAAAAAAAGAATTGAGGTGGGCATGGTGGCACATCTGTAGTCCCAACTGCTCAGGAGGCTAAGGTGAGAGAATCGCTTGAGCCTGAGAGGTTGTGGCTGCAGCGAGCCATGATAATGCTACTGCACTCTAGCATGGGCGACACAGCAAGACCATCTCAAAAAAAGAAAAAAAAAATTTATACGGTGGAATGCTTTCTTTGAAAACTGCTTTATGCATAAGTCCAATCTAGAAAACCAGAATTGGGCCACTTGTAGTGAAGGTGGAACAGAAGTGGCCTGGCACCCCCCAGAATTCCTGGATCACTGCCTGAAGGCAATTTATATAGTAGATGGGCCCTTACTGTGAGAAGCACAAGAGGACCCATGATGCTTAAGGCTCTGGCTCTGGGTGTGAAAGAATGAGGTGGAATTGTAGCAGATTCATTCCTGGGTCACTCAGTTTTGGGGAGGGCTGCAGGATGCCAGGCCTGCCATGTGCATTGGGTGCTGGCCTCTTTGTTCTGGGCACCATCTGCCTCAATCTATCTACTGGCCAGTGGAGGCCTGTCACTCACAGGGCAGAAAATTTATTTTCGCCATCTCAAAATTAGTGAGTTTAATCTTTTAAAAAATGGATTATAAAGTTAAAAGCTACCGCAAATATTTTCTTGTGCTCATAAAAGGCATCATCTGTTTTTTTCTGTATCAACAAAAGTAGAACGTTCAAGTTTGGATCTTGGTGTAGGATCAGCAACAGATCTGTACCTCTGACTCCAATGCTGGGGCTGGTGGGATGGCTCACAGTGGGATCATCGAACGGACTTCCTTCTCATAGATGTCAGGAATCACTCCCACTGGGGAACTGACCATGTGCACAGTGTTCTTGCCAAACAACTGAAACTCATAGTGGATGAGCTGCTCCCAAAAGCCACTGTTGGGTCGGATGATGGGCCGGCATGACTTGGTCCATGTGTGGGCATCCAGCAGGGACATGGCATGGTACTTCATGAGGTAGGCGAGGCACAGGGCGGCTGAGCGACTCACACCGGCAGCACAGTGCAGCAGAGTACGGCCCTGCTTCATCTCCACACTATGGATGTGGTCAGCAATAGGGTCAAAGAGGTCGCAGAGACGTGAGTTAGGGGTGTCAGCCACAGGTACCTGCAGGTACTGGATATCCTCGTATAAGGTGTTCACTACCTCCACTGAGACATTGATGACCATGGTGATCTGGTTGCTAGACAGCATGAGCTTGTTGTTGGCGGCTGCGCCATTGCTGATATACAGGCTTTTGGTTATCTGTGAGAGGCCGCTGACTGAGGGCTGTGGGAACTGAACCGGGAAGGCACACAGGGGTGCTGTCATCAAGGCGGTAGGTCAGCAATCAGCGAAGCATGAAGGCTGCGTCTTTCTGCTAGGCTGTGTCCATGGAAAACTGCAGGGAGGGAGAGGATGTTTAGAGGGCAGGTACCCAGAGGGCCAACTCCAGGGGATCCCTGGGAAGTTGATGGATAGGCCTACAGCATTCCCCAAGGTAGTCCTCTGACCATCTCAGCAGAATTACCCTGCAAACTCATTAAAAGTACAGATACCCAAGTCCCTCAAACCCATGGAGTCAGACTCTTGGGGTGAAGAGCATGAATCTGCATTTTCAGCCTGCTTCTCAGGTGGTCTAATGTGCACTGCCCTATAGGACAAAGGGCAAGTCTCCAAGTCTGGCACTTGAGGCCTCCCTTGAGGGGCCCCACAGTTCCAGTTGGGCAGATGATTTGTGTTCCTCAGCTGTGCCCTGGGCTGCCTCTCCATTTAAGCTCACAAAGCCCTCTTCTTGCCCCTCTGAGTGGGAACCACTTACACAATCTTCTTCCTCAGTCTTCTGACATTTATGCCCAAATCATAAGGCCCTGGGCCAGTGGCATGGAACCAGAGTCCATTGTGCTGGCAGTCACTGAGGGGGTGGTATAAGAGTAGGGAGAGTCCCACTTTCCCCCTCTAAGAACCATCTCTTTGAAGAGACAGGATATGCCCACATGAAGCTGACGTCAAATACAAAGACCTAAATTATCAGACATGCTCCTGCATCTTGCCTCTGAAGAGGGCCTGGGAAAGGGAGTGGCCGAAAGCTTCCTGGAGGCCAGCACAATGCATACCACAACAACCCCAGGGGCAAGCACAGAGAGGTAGCAGGGCCTCCAGAAGACCTGCCACACCTGCACCATGCTGCCTGCAGCAGAGCGGTGGAATGCACCCCAGGGAGGGGCAGACCTTTTGTTGTTGTTGTTGTTGAGAGGGAGTCTTGCTCTGTCACCCAAGCTGGAGAGCAGTGGTGCAATCTCAGCTCACTGCAGCCTCCACCTCCTGGGTTCAAGTGGTTCTCCTGCTTCAGCCGCCCGAGTAGCTGGGATTACAGGCACCCACCACCACACCTGGCTAATTTTTGTATTTTAGTGGAGACTAGGTTTCACTATGTAGGTCAAGCTGGTCTCAAACTCCTGACCTCAAATGACCCACCCACCTCAGTCTCCCAAAGGGCTGGGATTACAGGTGAGAGCCACCGTGCCCAGCCCCCAGTCTTAAACAAAGCTGCAAAAACCAGGACATCTTTATACGTCCTACTGAAATAGGGGCATTTGGATTTAGATCACACCTTTCCAGGCCAAATGGCAGTCTTCACCATGCAGGAGAAATGAGGAGCCAAAGTTTTGCTTCCCTGCTGAATATATTTCAGTGGCTATCCATCGTCAGGATAAGATGGAGCCACTTAGTTTGGCTGTCAAGGCCATTTTTGACCTGGCTCCTGCCTGTCTCTCCAGGCTCTTACTAGGCTTCTGCATGCTCTGAAGGGCCTCAGGTGGACTGAGCCACATATAGTTCTTTAGGGACAGCCTGTCGTCTCCAGTCAGTGGCCTTTGCCTCTGCAGAACTCTCGGCCCCTTTCCTTATGAACCTATTAGATCCTGATAGGGCCCATTCAGCAGAAGACTGCAGAAGTCTGAGGAGCCTTAAGATAGCAACTCAAAGGTAACTGTTTTAAGGGAAATCTTAGATCACACCCTCCCTCGTGTTTGATCAACTCTCTGCCCCAGGCTTTCTTAGCCCTAAGTTCTCTCCTTCCTAACACTTACTCAAGGTGTGGTTTTTGCCCTGATCTGATTATTTAATTAATGCTTGTCTCCCGAAGAGACTGTGAGCCCTTTAAGGATATGACAGTGTCTATCTTCACTCCCCGTCTATCACTGACTAGTGCCAAGCTCTGTGTCCCCACAAGTAGGTACTTGATAAATAATTGCTGAATGAAAAAAATGACTCCAACAGCTATGAGTCTGCCTTTGAAAGGTTTTCTGGAAAGAATGAGTTCTTGGCCATGTTTCTCTAGAATTCCAGGAAGAGGCTGGGTGGGAGTGGGGGAGGTTCTGAGGTTACTAAAGAGAAAGACTGAAGGTTGTATAGGCAAATCCTACCTGCCAATGCCCTAGACTCAACTGCATCAGGCTCACCTTAGGAAGGGCAGATCGGGTGGCTTGTTATAGAGGTGATAAGAAGGGCAAGGAAAAAGCCTCCTGACCCAGATGGAAACCTAAATGCTAAGGAATGTTCTGGATCCTCAGCATCAAAAACTCCAGAGAGAAGTGAACTGACTTCCCCCAAACCAATGCCTAGTGGGTAACAGAAATAGAGGAATGTGATGTTCATCAGAGCAACTAAAAGTTTGTAGAAGTAACAATGCTCTTGCTGATGAGGGTAGTAATGGGAGGAAAATCTGTCATTTTCATGCTAGTTAAGAAATATCTACAGGTCTGGTGGTTCACACCTGTAATCTCAGCACTTTGGGAGACTGAGGGGGGCAGATCACCTGAGGTCCGGAGTTCAAGACCAGTCTGATCATTATGGTGAAACCGCATCTCTACTAAAAATACAAAAATTAGCCAGATGTGGTGGCATGGGCCTGTAGTCCCAGCTACTCAGGAGGCTGAGACAGAATTGCTTGAAGCTGGGAGGTGAAGGTTGCAGTGAACCCAGATGGAGCCACTCTAATATTCCAGCCTGGGTGACAGAGACTCCATCTTAAGAAAGAAGGAAAGATGTATCTATCAGGCCCTGTATTAGGTGTTGGAGATACTGAAATATAACTGAACTATACAAGACAGGCATGGCTACTTTTCTCACAGAGCTCAAAGTTTAGTGGGGGAAACAGTAAACAGGCAATTACAGGCAACAGAGCTTGAAAATAGGGTACCAGTGCCCACCTTAACAAATAGGATGTTGTGATATTAAATGAGATAACCCAGGTAAAGAGTATTATCAGGGCTTGGCACAGTGTAAGCCCTCTAAAAACGATAACTGTTTTTTCTTGCTTCTGATAGGGAAGTTAAAATGCAGGGCTCTGTGGAAGTTAAGTGTAAAGCGATATTTGATTTCTTCCATCTCGGAGGCTAGGGAATCGTAAAAATCGCCTGAAGAAAACACAAGAGATCTAAAGAACATTTAGCTTGAGGGAGAGGGAGGCGGAGAAAAAAATAGCAACTCAGTTTCACCACTTTACAGCCTAGGAAGTCTTTGGCTTCCCTCATCTGGTTCGATCTTCAAAGCAACCTAACCAGACCGGCGCCTAGAGTTAATATTTCCGTTTTACATAAGAGGAAGTGAAACACAGCGGGGGAAAGGACTTGTTTAAAGTCAGAAGCCAAGGAAGCCGGTCTTTATGGTCCATTATGTGTGGGGAAAAGTGGACAAACACCGCGGGGCGTTGGTGAAATACTAGGTTATAAACGTGGAACAGAGTCCAAGAGTTAACGAGAGCGAGGCACCACTTCTAGGGGTGGGCCAGGTAAGTTTCCTGGGGGAGCTGGCGTTGGAATAGGCTTCTTCGGCTGCTCGGTGTTAAGACTCCAGCAGTCTTACCTTTTTCCCTCGGGAGGATGCGCGGGTTCATGCAGAAGTAGCCGCTCCGGGAAGCCTCGGGCAAGGGTCTTCGGGAGGGAGACTAGTCAGGATCCCGAAGCCTCAATCCCGGCTGGCCTAGCGCTTTGGTTTCCATAGCAATGGTGTCTTGTCACAGAAAGGAAACACCTGTGCCGGGTCTTCAGCGAAATCCTGGCCTCGATTCCACGCCCGAGCAGGCCCACCCTGGCTCAACTGGTTACCCGCCTTGCCAGCAAGCCAGGGCCACTGCAGTCCCCGTGGCGCAGCAGGGTCAGTTCATCTCAACGCACCCCACTCCATCCAGCCATGCCCGTCTCCACGGCAACGCACCCGGTTGCACCAGGGCGGCGGCCGAGGGACTATCTTACTGCTTCCGTAGCCGCCTGCCCGGACTCTGTGCGCATGTCCAGCACACCCGCCTCCTTCCCGACCCCGCCCCCTGGTGCGTCTTCCCCGCAAAGCGCCGAGCTCGGCTCCAGGCTCCGCCCATGGACTCACTGGAGTCCGCGCGAGCCAAAGGAGCACTGCTGCTAACCGGCCTGCAATTTCCAACTGTTACTCCAAGAGGGTAGCCGCTATGACACAGCCTACTAGGCCCGGTGTCACAGGGGACCCGGGATCCTCCACGATATACAGGACCGGCGCCACCTTGGGGTGGAAACACCAGCGCCATAGGCTCGGCAGCCGCCAAGTACTCGGGCCGCCGCCGAGTAATCGGCGTAGCGGGTTCAGCCGCAGATCTGCTTCCCGCGCCGCGGACCGCGCAGTCGCCTGTGCTCTTCAGGTGTGGCCCGTGTGCCCAGAGAATTCGTTAGACTTCGGTCCCGCGAGGGAGCCCGAACTCTTTCAGACTCGCCCTTCCTCAGCCGGACTCCGGCCCTTTTTCACGACGAAGATTCTGGATTTCTCGTAGCCCCGTTCACAGCTCCTTCCCAGTCTAGCTCCTCGGATTCCCTTAATCCCAAACTCCCTCACCGCGGACTCCCGGAAGAACCTTGACTCCCCATCTCCAGTCTACATTTTTTCAGAATCGGTCCCAGCCCTTCAGTCCTCAGGCATGACATCATGTGATCCCAGCCCTGACTCTCCTTAGAGTCTGGCGAGGCCCAGGTCCTCCCAAGCTCGAACCTGTCCCACACTCACTGTCTCAGCCTCTATGTTCCCGAACGGTCCTGGAAAAGCCCCCAGTTCCCTCTGCCTGGCCCTGATCCTCACAAATCCCAATTACCCACTCTCCTTTCCATTCCACAACTGCTCTCACTGCATCCTCCACGTTCCCATCCATGGAGGACTTGAGGTGGAAAGCAACTTGGTTCAAAATGACCATTATTTATTACTTGACAAGGGATATTTTCAGTCGTTGCCAACATCCTCCCCTTCTAGTATTGGTAAATTTGGTGCACCACTTAGTGGGTGAAGAGTTTTATGTGTCTTTAAATGTTTTAGGGATTTTTTTTTTTTTAAACAACACCCAGGGTTTTGGGGACTTTTGTGTTCGAGCATCTTGATCTCTAAACTAGCCTTTTCCATCACCTAGGCTATGCATAGAGGTCAGAAATATGTAAATGAGAGATTGGGAAGTTGGATTGTTCATACTAGTTTGTAAATATGAAAACGTTCACAACACTCCAGTTCCAAATTGGCTGAAAATGAATTAGAAAAACTAGTCCTTCAACATGTTTTATCCTTCTACAGTTGTCTTTTTTGTCCTGATTATAAAAGTAGTGTACACTTGTAGAAAAATAAGACCCGGCATGGTGGCTCATGCCTGTAATCACACCACTTCAGTTTGGGAGGCTGAGGGGATTGGATCACCTGAGCTAAGGGGTTCGAGACCAGCCTGGGCAACAGGATGACATCTCATCTCTACCATCATACCAAAATATATTCAATTGCTTCCATATTGTACATTTTGTTCCTGTATTTTAGAAAGAAAATATGAGCAATTTTTTTTTCTTTGGAGACAGAATGTAGCTCTGTCGCCCAGGGTGGAGTGCAGTGGCACAATCTTGGCTCACTGCAACCTCTGCCTCCTGGGTTCCAGCGATTCTCCTGCCTCAGCCTCCTGAGTGGCTGGGACTACAGGTGCTCACTACTACCAGCCAGCTAATTTTGTATTTTTAGTAGAGACAGGGTTCACCATGTTGGCCAGGCTGGTCTCAAACTCCTGACCTCAAGTGATCTGCCCACCTCAGCCCCCCAAAGTGTTGGGATTACAGGCGTGAGCCCTGCAACTGATCCTGAACAATTATTATTTTATTTATTTATTTATTTTTTGAGACAGAGTTGCGCTCTTGTTGCCCAGGATGGAGTGCAGTGGCGAGATCTTGGCTCACTGCAACTCCACCTCCTGGATTCAAGTGATTGTCTTGGCCCAGCCTCCCAAGTAGCTGAGATTACAGGTATGCACCAATATGCCCTGCTAATTTTATATTTTTAGTAGAGACAGTGTTTCTCTATGTTGGTCAGGCTAGTCTTGAACTCCTGACCTCAGGTGATCCGCCTGCCTCGGCCTCCCAAAGTGCTGGGATTACAGGTGTGAGCCACCGTGCCCGGCCTTAACAATTCTTTTTAAATGAGTAAAACCATTTAAAGGTATATATTTATAAGACTACTTCATGATGTAACCAAATTATCAAAAAGTGAAAACTCAGTGCCTAGAAGTATATCTACTTTTCACCATTTCCTCATTTTCACCTGGAGTACCTGGCATCATTCTACCCCATCCCACCCCATCATTCCCCTCTCATCTTTCAGAGTCTCCTAAACCCCTGTCCACCCTACACCTCCCCCACTTTTCTAAACTTTCCCCAGACTGTCTTCCAGAATTCCCCCATTAACCAGCCTAACATCTTTCCAAACTATTTTCATTCCTCCCTGCTGTGATCTATACTCCAATTCCTCACCTCCCAGATCCCCTTTAGGCATAGGCTCTAGAGCAAGTGCCTCCCGAGCTAGACAGCTCTCAAATTTATCCTCTGAACCCTACCCTACAACTTTTACACCTCTCCTCTAAGACCCCTCTCTCCCATTTCATCCTTAAGGATCATCAAGATGACTGCTTTTGGTTGGGTGGGCACAGTGGCTCTCATGCATATAATCCCGGCACTTTGGGAGGCTGAGGTGGGCATATCTCTTGAGGTCAGGAGTTCATAACTAGCCTGGCCAACATGGTGAAACCCTGTCTCTACTAAAAATTAAATAACTTTAGGTGGTGTGGTGGTGCACACCTGTAATCCCAGCTACTTGGGAGGCTAAGGCAGGAGAATCGCTTGAATCGGGAGGTGCAGGTTGCATTGAGCCGAGATTGTGCCACTGCATTGCAGCCTGGGAGAGAGAGTGAAACTGCATCCCAAAAACAAAATAAGATGACTGCTTCTGAGGATAGTTCTGAGTTCCTGATAACCCTTCTCTTGTGGACTGCACTGGGACCTTTTACATCCACAGAATGGCTTTTCTTCTGGGTGTCCATGAAACACCCCTTTAGCATACCTTTTCCACAAGAAGAAACTGGTTACTTCCTTGCTCCTCTGAAAATTGTGACAGAGCTGCAGTTGTCCTAATAGACCTGGGGAAGCCTCAGCTACTACACCAGGACCCCATCAAATCTGCTCTGGCCCTGGCCTCAGCCATCTGTAACCTGTACCACCTTTCCCTCCCTGCCCCAGCTCAATGAATTCCAGTGAAGCAGCAATGAAAAAACTTTTACCCAAGAGCCATTTGTCTCGGGTGGTTTTTCATGACAACCTCATTGCACAACAAATCTGAATCTATGATTTCAGTAGCCACAATCTTTTGCATTAGAAGGTGTTAGTGGCTTGACCCATATTCATTTCATTCTCCCTATATCCTGGGGGATCATAGAGGTGATAGGAAGTCATCACCGTGCTCTAAGGCAGGCCCCATTTTACAGAGAAGGCAACTGATACTCGGGGTTGCTGACTTACCCAAGGTGTCACACCTGTTCCTGGGGTAAGGAAGCCGGAGAGAAAGACTCCATGTCTCTTGGGTCTTTTTTTCTGAAAGCATATTATCTAGGGAATCCACGAATGGATTCTTATTTTCTTCCATACAAAGTCTTGGGTTCTAGGCTGGGTGAGGTGGTTCATGCCTATAATCTCAGCATTTTGGGAGACTGAGGCAGGAGGGTCGCTTGAAGTCAGGAGGTCAAGACCAGCCTGGCCAACGTGGTGAAACCTAATCTCTACCATAAATGCAAAAATTAGCTGGGTGTGGTGGTGCATGCCTGTAATCCCAGCTACCAGGGAGGCTGAGTCAGGAGGATCACTTAAACATGGAAGGCGGGGGTTGCAGTAAGCCAAGACTGCACCACTTTACAGGCATGTGCCACCATGCCCAGCTAAGTTTGTATTTTTAGTAGAGATAGGGTTTCTCCATGTTGGTCAGGTTGGTCTCGAACTCTTGACCTCAGGCAGTCCACCCACCTCAGCCTCCCAAAGTGCTGGGATTATAGGTGTGAGCCACCGTGCCTGGCAACCTAATTATTTTATTTTACTTATTTATTTTTGAGATGGAGTCTTGCTCTGTCACCAGGCTGGAGTGCATTGGAGCGATCTTGGCTCACTGCAATCTCTGCCTCCCAGGTTAGAGTGATTCTCCTGCCTCAGCCTCCTGAATAGCTGGGATTGCAGGCACCCATCACCATGACCAGCTAATTTTTGTATTTTCAGTAGAGACAGGGTTTCACCATATTGGCCAGGCTGCTCTCAAACTCCTGATGTCAAGTGATGTGCCCACCTCAGCCTCCTACACCAGCCTATATGCAAAACTTTAGTATGTATGCCTGTTCATATATTCTGTAGGTTTCATAATAGTCTTAAATGGTCCACAATCTTCCCACACATTTCAGACCACTGACTTTGAGACTTTGAGCTCAGAATGTTTGACCAGCAAGTGATCCACCTATTTTCCTCTCATTATTCCTGAGACCCTGATGAAACAAAAGTATAGAAATTTAAAAAGCAGTAACCACTCAACTGTAAGGAGAACTAGAACAAAGACTTTATTCAACAAATATTGATTGAGTTCCTGTCTCATGTCAAGTCTTCTTCTAGGCCCTGATGATAGAGCAGTGAAAGAAATCTGACAAAAATTCCTGCCATCCTGAAACTTACATTTTTGTAACAGAAGACAAACCAAAGAAATCATTTAGAAGGTGAAAATGCTTTAGGGCGGGGTGCAATGGCTCACACTTATAATCCTGGCACTTTGGGAGGCCAAGGTGGGTGGATCACCTGAGGTCAGGAGTTGGAGACCAGCCTGGTCAACATGGTGAAACCCCATTGCTACTAAAAATACAAAAATAAGCCAGGTGTAGTGGTGTGAACCTGTAGTCCTAGCTACTCTGTAGGCTGAGGCAGGAGAATCACTTGAACCTGGGAGGTGGAGGTTGCAGTGAGCCAAGATTGCACCATTGCATTCCAGCCTGGGCAACAGAGCAAGACTCCATCTCAATAAAATAAAATAAAATGGCCAGGCGCAGTGGCTCACACCTGTAATCCAAGCACTTTGGAGGCCAAGGCGGGCAGATCACCTGAGGTCGGGAGTTCAAGACCAGCCTCACCAACATGGTGAAACCACGTCTAAAAAAAAAAAAGTGACAAATGCTTTGGAGAAAAAGAAAACAGTACCGAAAGCCTGGAGTGCTGTGCTGGGATGTTTCCATTTTAGATGAGGATGAATCACTGAAGGATGAGAGGTTTCAACAAGAGCTTGGGCCAGATGTGGCTCACACCTGTAATCCCAGCATTTTGGGAGGCTGAGGCAGGTGGATCACTTGAGGTCAGGAGTTCAAGACCAGCCTGGACAATGTGGGTAAAACCTTGTCTTTACCAAAAATACAAAAACTAGCTAGGCATGGGGGCTTGCACCTGTATTCCCAGCTACTCTGAAGGCTGAGGCAGGAGAATTGCTTGAACCTGGGAGACAGATGTTGCAGTGAGCCGAGATTGTGCCACTGCACTCCAGCCTGGGTGACAGAGTGAGACTCCATCTCAAAACAAAAAACAATAAGTGCTTGAAATATGGAGAGGGGGTGAGAACTGGTGTGATGGATGAAGTGGGTGGAGGCAACAGCTGAGAACATTGTAATAGTGGACTTTAGAGAAGTTGGGAGCCAGTGGCTTGAAAGAAGATAGGGAATCTTTGGGTTCAAAGTCAACAGGTTATAGTGGAGGGTGGGAGGGGAAGTGGTAACTAAAATGGAGGATTTTAATTAGGTGGGTGTGATGGCACATGCCTGTAGTCTCAGGTACTCAGGAGGCTGAGGCACAACAATTGCTTGAACGTGGGAAATGGAGGCTGCAGTGAACCAAGATTGAGCCATTGCACTCCACCCTGGGCAACAGAGCGAGACTCCATCTCAAAATAAAATAAATAGGCTGGGTGTGGTGGCTCACACCTGTTATCTCAGCACTTTGGGAGGCAAGGTGGGCG